CGTGGGGAGCTGTCCCAACTGTGTGGGGCTCCAGGTGTTCCAGCTCACCCCCGGGGGGCCCTGCTGGCTTGGGTTAGGGTGATGACCCCCATGGAGCTGCAGCTCCCAGCCCTCTGTCCCAACACACTCTGGTCCCTGGTGTGCACTGCCAGTGGGTGCTTGGGTCTCCAGCTGCCTTCACTCAGCCCAGCAGAGCTGTGAGGCCATTTCCTCGCACTGTGAGGCTGCGCCTGAGGGAATCAGGTCTGAACATCTGGATCTGGGTGCTCCCCTCCTGTGCCAGGCAACAGCCAGCTGCAGAGCCTGTATCTCCATCACCACTACTCGCTTCCTGATGAGCTCTTCTGGGATGGGCTATTGTCCCCTCCTGGTGCCCTGTATCCCTGGCAGCTGCCACTTTCTTGCAGCGTGTGCCTTCCTGGGGGAACAGGGCTGTCCTTGGTGCCAGGGAGCCTAGGCTGGCTTCTTCCCTCTCTTGCGTGGTACTGCCAGCCCGTGGGAGCTGCAGGTGGTGGAGGATGAAGCAAGGCTGCTCTCACCTATAGTGTGAAGACATGGCCTCAGAATGGCAAGTCCCAGTACAGGAGGATTTGCCATCAGTGGGGAGGATTGCTCTGCCTGCCTAGCTTGGCTGCCCCAGGAGCCCTGCCAAGCAGCCCACATGCTCTGACTGGGGCTCACTGCAGAGGTGTCCTGCCAGGCCTCGCCGCAGCAGGTGACAGCATTGTCCCCAGGGTGGCCAGCCTGCCAGAGCAGGGGATGCTGGTGGCATGCAGCACCCCAACCCTACCTGGCCCAGGAGGGGACCAGCCAGCATTGCTGGAAGCGGTGTTGCGTGCCATCTGGTTGGCATCTCTTCCGGGACTGAGCCAGCTTCAAGGGAGCCTCTGGGGCGCAGCCTCCTGCCTGGGAGTCCCTACACCAGGGCACTGCCAGAGGGTGCTGAGCTGCAGGCAGGGCACTGCAGGCACGGGGCAGGAGGCAGCAGGCTGCTGGCCAGATCCTGTTGGCTCGAGTCTGGGCACGGTGAGTGGCCGGACCTGTCCGGTGATGCTGCTGTGGAGGGTTGCACAAGGGGCCAGGAATAGAGCAGCAGGAGGCGATTAGAGTCTGTGAGGCTCGGCTGGGCGGCAGCAATAAATAGACAAGCCTTAGCCCCTGCCTACCTGGGCAAGGCTGCCTGGCACGCTTGTTTGTCCGGAGTGGCCACAACCAAGCCCTGTGGCTCTGATCCTGCTGCCTCAACTGGGCCAGCCTCTTCCCTTCACTGTCAGCAAAGCCAGGATGATGGTGCTGGCCAGGAGTGCCGCCATGGAGGATGGTCCTGGCTGCGAGGATGTGTGCCCCAACCTTGTGGCTGCAGCAGTGTGGAGATGCAGTCCCAGCTGTGTCCTTCAGGCTGGCCATGGCTGCTCCTCCGCAACCCTCCCGGGTCAGGTGCTGCCTCCGACCTTGCTCTGTCCTGCGGTGCTGCAAATCTCTCCTGCCCGGCACCGTGACTGCTGAATTGGCAACACTGGCTGCAGCTGGCTGCCCTCACTTCTCCAGGGATGTGGGCAGGATGCTGCCCATCAGGAATGCTCAGCATCACAGCCCTGGGGTAGCTGAGCTCCTGTGCCCCATGGGGACCCCTGAGGTGGATGCCATGTGTTGTATCCAGCTCTGGGCTGGGTGCTTGGTGGGAAAGCGATTGCTGTGCTGGCTCCAGTGGTCTTGGACAGCATGGGACAGGGCTGGTACAAAAAAAGTATCAAGGAGTGCCTTGAGTCACTGCACACTTGCTCAGGAAAAGCTGCCTGGGGAACGTGGCTCAGCCTGCAGCTGGCAGTTGTGACTGTCCCCAGTGGCTGGGGTGTGTGGCATCACCTTGCCTGGCAGGTTGTTGTGTGGACACAGGCGTTCTTCCTGCCTGGCGAGGGCTCCACGTGCCCCGTGTCCCGGAGGGGAGACAGGAAGAGGTTGTTGTCACTCATTGTCCCCAGCTCAGCTGGGAGTGACAACAGATCTTTCCTGCCCCACTCTTCCGGCCCAGCCGTGAGGCCTGCAGGATGGGGCTGTTCCCACAGGGCCACAGCCTGGTGTGGGGGTAGCTGAGACCCCTGGGCAATGCTGGCTGCTGGGGACATGCCTAGGGGCTGTTTCATGGAGACCCTGCTCAGTTCAGCCTGTTGCTGGGGCTGCTGGAGGCTGGCACCCCCCTAACCCCCACCAGTGCCCTGGGTGCTGTGTGCCTGCTGTCTTGCCTGGACCTGGTCCTTGCTGCCCTAGGATGAGCAGAGAGGATGGAGAAGTCCTGGCCCGCTGTGCCAGGGCTGCAGCTCAGCCCCTGTAATCCCCTTCCTGCTCTGAATCACCAGCTTATTTCCTGGCTAATTCCCCAAGCTATAAATACTGCTCTGCCTCAAAGGGCCTTGAGGACCCACAGCCACCTTCCAAGGCAGGGGCTGGTCCTCCTAGCATGAGGCCAAGAACCTGTGTCCCTCCTGGAGGCAAAGAATGTTGCCTGGGGGGGCAGCTGCTATGGAGTCAGGGGGACCTTGGGCAGGGCTAGCTTTAGTTCCCCATGGGTGCATTGGGGACTGTCCTGTGCTGGACAGGGCAGTCCCTTGGACACCATTGTGCACAGTGCGATGGGGGTCCCTAGGAGCCCATGGGGAAGTAGGGGGCTTGGGGCTAGAGGGAGCACTCCATCTCTCAGCTGAGCATCTTCCCCCTCCCCAGGCCGCAATGAGCCCCTGAAGAAGGAGCGTCCCAAGTGGAAGAGCGACTACCCCATGACAGATGGGCAGCTGCGCAGCAAGCGAGATGAGTTCTGGGACACGGCACCTGCCTTCGAGGGCCGCAAGGAGATCTGGGATGCCCTGAAGGCAGCTGCCTACGCTGTGGAGGCAAATGACTACAGCCTGGCCCAGGCCATCCTGGACGGAGCCAGCATCACTCTGCCCCATGGTGAGAGATGGCAACAGGGGTGCAGGTGGGGTGGGTACTGAGTGCCCCATGTCTAAGCACATCAGGGTCCCAGGTTGGAGAGGAGTTCCCAACTGCCATTCACATAGCTCAGCCCAGCCAAGGGGGGTGCAGTGGGCTCTATCCCACTACCTGGGGTGCCCCCATCACCATTTGAGGTGTCCATGTGGGTGCCCACACAGAGCATCTCACCCTGCCATCCCCAGGTTCCCTGACGGAGTGCTATGATGAGCTGGGCAACCGATACCAGCTGCCTGTCTACTGCCTGGCACCTCCCGTCAACCTGATCCTGGAGCGGAGCGAGGAGGAGGTGGTGGAACCGGCGGAGCCCCTGCCCAACGCCCGGCGTGAGTTCGCCCTCAAGGTGCGACTCTCCACCGGCAAGGACCTGCGGCTCAGCGCCAGCATGGGTGACACCATTGGGCAGCTGAAGAAGCAGCTGCAGGCACAGGAGGGCATCGACCTGGCCTGGCAGCGGTGGTTCTTCTCAGGCAAGCTGCTCACTGACCGCACACGGCTGCAGGAGACCAAGATCCAGAAAGATTTTGTTGTGCAAGTGATTGTCAACCAGCCCCTGCCACCCAGGAACTGAGACCTCCAACAGCTGCTGGGAGAGGGCAGAGGGCAGGAGG